ATATGTTTGTAGATTATAGGGATGTGTCAAAGATGAATGATTAAAGATTAATAAGATGTGTTTTTTTTCAAGTAATATACCCAGAAAAAAATGCAAGCATGGTCTTTAAAATCAATAATTATCATTATTGCCATAATCATTTAATATGTCTATTATTAATGTTAATTTCATTTATAATTGTCAGTGATTGCTTGAAACAATATTTCTATTTATAATCAGGCTGAAAATTTGAAGGAGGGTGTAGAAAAAGAAGTTGTGAATGACATTTTAAAGAAATTAGCAAACCTGACCAAACAAAAAGACGTAAAATTGACGTCTGGTGATCTAACTGCAACATCAGATACCTTACTTATGGTAGCTGATCATGCTGAAGAACGGTTAGAGACAGTGTCTTCTGGTCAGCTGGAGGTTCGTAACATTATTAAGTGTAGCTGATTAGGCTAAAGAAGGAGTAGAGACACTGTCTTTGATCGACTGAACTACATGTCCTGATTTCAGTTTAAAAATTTTAAAATATATTGATTGATTGATTGGTGTTTTATGCCACTTTCAGCACTATTGGCTACTTTGTGGTTGTCAGTTTTTTATTGTTGTAGGAAGCCAGAGAGAACCACGACCTTTGGCAGATAAAATGATAATCCTAGTCAATTAAGATTGGAGTCTAATGCACCTGCCACATGCGGGGTTTGAATTCACAACCTCCGTGGTGACAGTCTAGTGATAAAAAAGACATGTTAAAAAAGCTTTCAAGACAAAAATTCCAGAGCAAAATACATGAATACTTAAAGTCACTCAAAACCCTATAAGTATGGTTAAATGATTTGTTTTTGATTGTATAGATCAAAAGGATGATATATTTCACACATTAGCATGTTTTAAGTGTAATTTTATATGCTTATTCAAAGATCCCTTTTTAGATTCTACTCAATTGTCTTTTAAATTTTTAAATTGTTCTAGGAATTTCTTGTCACTGCTAACAATATCCTAGGTGACGAAAACAAGGAAGATTGGAAACAATTGAAAACCAAACAGGTAAAAAGCATTAACTGTTTACCACCATCTTGAACAAAACACCCAGCTCTCTATTCTATACCGTGTAATAAAAATGAGAATGGAAATGGGGAATGTGTCAAAGAGACAACAACCCGACCAAAGAGCAGAAAACAGCTGAAGGCCACCAATGGGTCTTCAACACAGGGAGAAAATCTTGCACCCGGAGGCGTGCTTCAGCTGGCCCCTAAAAATGTGTACTAGTTCAGTGATAATGGACGTCATACTTAACTCCAAAACATATAAATGAACTAAAATTAAAAATCATACAAGACTAACAAAGGCCTAAGAAGCATTTTCAATTTCATTTTTCTTTGACTTTCTGTTTACCAAACACTTAAAACAGGTGAACAATAGCTCACAGTTCTTCTTAAATAATTAAAATTGGTAATTTGTCTACATTCAATTAAGAAAAATATTGCAAGGTGGACATGTCCATCAGACAGAGTTCACATGACCTTAACTGAATCAATGTTTCATTGGTCAACAGCAAGTTTTTGTCCATCTGACCTGTTCCTATCTTTTCCTTGTTTATTGGTCAACATTTAGTTGGTGATCAGGTCTATTTCTCAGATGCTATAAGTAATGGGTCAACTACATTGGGTATAAAGAATGATTGATAGATGTCCATGTCTGTCTGACAACATTAATCTGACCATGCCCTCATTTTCATGTTTCATCGGTCTTCATTAAGTTCCTGAGATATAATATGTAATAAGCCATTTATATATTTAATGCCGGGTTCATCTCACCTTAACCTCATTCAATGGTTCATTGGTCAATAAAAGTCCTCAGACGGGGTTCACCTCAACTCAGGTCATTTAATGGTTCATTGGTAAACAGTAATTTTTTGTCCTTCAATAGAATTTAAAGATTTTCAACACAGAAATTTTAATCATTATTAGATAAGCAGGTGATACATTTTACTATGTTTACTCTTGTGATGGTTTTTTTCTTTAAATAGTAATAATTATCTGTATAATAATTTGAAAAGAACTTCATGTGAAAATATATAAGTTACAGCTATATATTACTGTTGTAAGATAATTATCAATTTACATATATTTTCAGAAAAATGTGACCACGGTGCTAAAAGCTGTTCAAAATTATAATGACGCATATTCACAAAGTGAAACTAAGCCGTTTAAAAAAGTAGTACAAAAGGATAATATAGGTGAGATATTCTTTTTATGTCCTGCCACCAAATGTGGTATTTTTTTTTTAAAGCAATTGCTTTCATGCCATGGCATATAGCCATCTTTGTGACCCAGATCGGTCAAGCCAAAGTTTTTCAGCAGAATAAAACTGATTCCTCGTCTGTCATTCAAAATATCCTCTTTATGTTTTCTAATGGAATACATTAATTGAAACAGTTGAAAAACAACAGTGGGTTTGTGAAGTTCTTGTAGATGTATTTTTGTATTTAAGAAGACAACCGTTTGACTTATCAAAGAATGTAGAAGGCCGAGTGAGAAAGTGCATTTTTATATACCTGCGATTTCCTTCTTGAGTGCATTTTTTTTATAAATAACCTGCAATTTCCTTCTTGAGACGTTTCATCAAAATGTTGAAACATGTCAGTTGTTGATTTAATATTGAAAACTTGACCGAATTATACCTTATACGGTTTAATGTTATTTAATTCGTGTTTCTTTTTTGAAAGAGGTCAAGTTGCTCTAAATGTTCATTCATAAAATCTGCATTTATTCATAAAATCTTCATAAAATCACTACACACATTACAGTAATGTAAAAAATCAAGATCTCGAGACAATGTCAAATGTCATAATGACCCTACACAATGCATGACCATTTGATGGTTTAAAAATAGATCTCTCTAGCTTTGACCATGTACCAGTTAGATTGTTTTAATAGGGCGGTCCCGTGCTTTCCCGACTGACACCATGTACTCTTTTAATACGCCCTGCCCGATTTTGTGAATTTGTACACAAACAAAATATTGTCTGATTTTGAACTTTTCCCCAGGTAGACAATCATGATCAGCCAATCAAATCGTTGTTTCTCGTGATTATTGGGCTGCTTTGCAAACATGCTGAATTTTGAACTTGTTTGGAACATCGGAATTGTACAAATCGTGATCATGGCAGATGAGTTTTCATCTGGAAGAAGGTTCTCACACAGCCTCAGAAGTAAAGCACGGCTGATTTACAAAAATCAGAGATACAGTACTACCATAATACGTTTGTATTATTTCTATTACAATGCCCAACTGGGAAAAACATTTTGAAAGAAGAATAAGAAAAAAGAAAAGAAACAAACAGGAGAAAATTGAATGACTTCTTTTGTACTGCATGAGTGTTTTAAAGATATTTGATATACAATCCTATGCAGAAAATCGTCAACTTTTAACTGTAAATTAATTTCTTTATTTTAAAATCTGTTGCATTATTTTTTTATGCGATTATGTCATTAGTAATGAAAGGGGTTAAGCTTTAGCCAGTTCTTAGATAAATTTCAGAAGCCGGTCCCATCTTCAAATCCTTAATCAGTATGTATGAATGCATGATTCTTATTGTATAGAACTATAGTTTGGTAGAACACTCTTGTCAGGAAAGTTGAAATCATCAACTCAATGGTTAAATTTAAACCAATTATGATATACTTCAAATTAAAATAGAAACAATAGAGAAAATGAAGCCAGGTGCATGGATTGTCATGTTAATAATTGTTCAGTAATAAACACTCTACAAGGGGATAATCTGTTATGACTTTTTCGAGAGTTATTCATTTCCACAATTATATTTGCTTCCACCAGAAGCAGGGTAAACAGGTCGTCACCCTGGGAAATGTTAAACATTGTAAAAATGACTTTCTGCTAGATAAGTCTTTTGTTATTATAAGGTTAAAACATCATTACTTCTCACTAGATAGGACTCCTCTCAGGTTTAATTCTTCTACATGTGGATGAAAAATAAAAGTCACAAACACATTAACTAGGCAGCAATTGCTTTAACAGCCTTTAAGGCTTTGATTATGTTCTGCCACCAATTGTGTTGTTTTTTATATCCTGCCACCAAATGTGTTGTCTTTTTATGTCCTGCCACCAAATTTGGTGGTATGAAAATAGTTTATTGTTTTCCCCTTATTCATCTTTCTGTCAACTGTAGGGATTTTAAAATGGTTTACATCTGAAGGTCACTCACAATCCAAAACAGAAATTAGATTTAGAATTTTGGTTAACTCATGAATCCCTGTTTATATCTTTCTGGTGGAAGAACAAGATATTCTTCTGAGTATCTTATTCAATTGGCTTAGATAAGATACAGAACACACATATATTTTATACTTATTGACTGGGTATGAGTGGAATAGTAAGTTTATTGTCCCCAAGGTGAAACTATTGCCCTGAGGCAAAAAAATTACTATTCCACGAATATCCAGTCAGTAAGTGTTTTATTATACCATAAGTAGACAACAGACAATAAATGTCAGGGCTAAATCAACTATCTTAATATTAAAAGCAGAAACACAACCATACTGTTTAACATTTACTTCATATATATTCTGAATGTTAAGGCTACATCCTGCACTGACGTCAACCCTAGGTACAATAGGTAAATCGCGACGTTGCAACACCTGCGGTATTCTCAACATCCTCCAATCCGGTAGCTGCATTTGAAATTCCGCGAAATATAATGACGCTTGCGGTCAAATAGTTTCATCAAGGTCCAATAGTTGGAAACTATTGACAGGTCAAATAGTTCAATGCTTGCAATTTAAAAAATAGTCAAAATATTGTGTACTTATTTTATATAGAAAATGATAACTGAGGTATGATAAATTTCTTTATTTTGGCTTTGGTGACAAATTTTATATTTTTGCAGAGGTTTTTCTGATTTAAATATAAAAACCTGAAGGGTACTCACAGTGGTAAATTTATTATACCCCACGCAACGAGTTGCGGAGGGTATAATGTTTTTGACCCGTCTGTCTGTCCGTCTGTCAGTTCGTCAGTCCTGTTTCTTGTCATCGCAACTCCTCTCAAACCACACAACAGAATTTCATGAAACCTTTTTAGATAATAAGGACATACTATGTAGTTGTGCATATCGATAGGAAATTACGATTCAATTCTCTTTCTAGGAGTTACGCCCCTTTGAACTTATTTACTTTAATGTACTACTGCAACAGTTTGTCATCGCAACTCCTCTCAAACCACATAAAAGAATTTCATGAAACCTTTTCAGATAATAAGGACATACTATGTAGATGTGCATATCGACAGGAAATTACGATTGAATTTTTTTTCCAGGAGTTACGCCCTTTGAACTTATTTGCCCAATATACTACTGCAACCTTTTGTCATCGCAACTCCTCTCAAACAACACAACAGAATTTCATGAAACCTTTTCAGATTATAAGGACATACTATGTAGATGTTCATATCGACAGGAAATTACGATTCAATTTTTTTCCAGGAGTTACGCCCCTTTGAACTTATTTGCCCAATATACTACTGCAACCTTTTGTCATCACAACTCCTCTCAAACCACACAACAGAATTTCATGAAACTGTGTAGATAATAAGGACATACTATGTAGATGTGCATATTGTCAGGAAATTATGATTCAATTTTTTTTTCTGATACAATTTTTTTTTCTTACACTTATTTTATTTCTCCAATGACAATGTGGGGACGTGGGGTATGTGAGCGCGCTCACTAAGGTTCTTTCATTTTGTAAATAATATATTTTGCAGATATGATGCAATAAAAACTGCACATCATTGATACTCATACTAGAAATACTGGTAAGGAGATAGTTTATTAATGGTGCAAATGGACATATTCTTTTTGACAGTTTGTATTTATCTATTGTAGTTGTGGAGGTAGGGAAGGTACAAAATGAAGATATTACTTTTCCTAATAGAACACAATCACAGCCATCATGGATAGCTAAATCTAAAACTACAATCAATTTTCAACAGTCATCATTTAAAAGTATGTAAAACTTCTTGTTAGAATATTGCTAAATTTCTTACTAGGTTAATTTAATGGTGATTTGTTTATGATACTTGAATGTTCACAATAGATTAACAATCTTCCTTGAATGAATCATTAATCATCTTTGTCATATACCAAATTGTGAATTGTAAAGTACTAATTTTGTCTCTCCTGTAATGGAAATTGAATATTGTCCCACCAAAGAAGATGTTCCAACAGAGAGGCAAATGGGAAATACATGTAACAGATTTTTTTTTGGAATTGATTAATACATTGAATTAATTTGTTGTCATCAACAAGATGTCCAATATACATGTCACCGTAGCTATTTATCAAAAGAGTACAGCTATATACTAGTACTATACTATATGTTGTGCGTACTATATTTACTATCATTTACGCATTCATTCATACATTCATTCATTCATTCATTCATTCATTAATTCATTCATTCATTGACGGACAGTTAGAAAAAGACTTGTGCTATGTTCTACTCTGCACGAATTTATAATGCATGCAACCCCGCCACTTTTTCTAGTACTATATATACAGTGTACTCGTACTAATGCGAGTTTCACACTTTAGCACGCACGAGCTACATATGGGACATATAACTTTTTCCCTATTTTCAGTGTGAATAAATGGTTTGCAACTTTATTATCGTCACTATAATCAACGCCTAATAATAAGAACCAAGTGGCCATTTACCCTGTGACATACACCTACCATGTCTAATGGCAGAGTGCTCTACAAATATTGCCTTTTTAAAGTAAATTATATGCCCTCTTCAAAGGAAAGGGGTTACTGTTTTATTCCTGTCTCTCCATTAGTATGTCTGTCCCTCCATTAGTATGTCTGTCCCTCCATTAGTATGTCTGTCCCTCCATTAGTATGTCTGTCTCTCCATTAGTATGTCTGTCCCTCTGTCCCATCAAATTTCCATCTTTTTTTTCTCAGGAACTGCAAATCAGAGTGTTCAGAAATTTGTCATCAGGAATTAATGTGAAAATGTTATTATGGGTGATGCAGTTTTATATCCATTGCTCTTCATCTTCCTGTTTACCTAATACTTAAAGCAAAGGTACCATTACTGAGCAGTAGCTCACAGTTTTACTTGTATTTTATTTAAATTTTCATCTTTCTTTCAGAAAATCAGCTTGTTGGGTATAACACTGCTTATTACAGAAACATATCAGATCTTTTCCCTACTGTGTTGATAGATAGGTATTATTTATACAAATAAAACTTTAAAGTTCACTCTATGGTATAGTTTCTTTGCTGATGATGCCTGTTGATTTATTATAATATCCCCTAACCTAGGTGTATTCAAATTTGTAACAGAAAAATAATTTCTTTCAACAGCATGTTGATAAATTGTATAGGCATAAGTGTGCCATCTTGCAAAAGCAATGACTTGTCAAGGGTTGAAAATGCAGCTACATGAATTTCTATATGCAAGTTATGGATCAAAAGATGAGTATCAGATTGATCATTTTTGAATTTTTCAAATGTTTTGATTTACCAGACCTGCTAAAGGAATTTATACATCTAGTAGTTCTGTATCTAAAGTCAAGTTAAGTAAATGGGTCATGTGACATATTTTTGTCCAATTTTGCATAAAGTTGAGGTGTGTTACAAACCTGAACTGAAAATTGAAAAAAGTATTGAATTTACAGTCAAACCTGTATATAAAAGGTCACCAAAAGGATCAGAGAAAACAGATCTTATACATTTGAATTGTGTATATATTACTTCAGAGGACAACACAGGTTTTCACTCAATAAAGGTGACCTTTATAGCGGGTTTGACTCTCTTATATTTTCTGAAACATTACTGAATAAATTCTTCCAATATAGGTGAACATTTGTATAGAAAGCACATAAAATTTGCAAAAACAATTCTTGAATTTGTCTTCAAATCAAATCTCCAATTACTAAAGGATTGATAAGTCTATAAAGGAAAATTTAACCAATGGAGTTATATGTCATAACTTTCAACTCGAACCATAATGGCCATGATCAGATAATTCAATGATCAAATTTTAAAATCGCTATATGTAAAAGAATAATTTGTTTAATTTAATTTATTTCAGTGAGTCAAAGGACATAAAAGGCAGCATCGAGGTGATTTCTGATGTGGTGAATTTTGGTACTAATCCTCCTCTTCCTCATATAGATCCACCTCTGGTTATAAAATTTGAGTATTTGTCTGTAAGTATCAATGAATTGAATTATTGTTTATTATTAGAAGAGAAGCCATTAATGTTGATACTGAATATTAATGAGATTGACTTATTTGTCATGATTTTGCTGTGAATTATAATGTATTTATTCCATGGTCAAGATGAAAAACAACAATAGTAATAGTGTTCATGACTATCAAGATTAAAAAAGCAACAACAGTGCTGATGACTATCAAGATGAAAAAGTAATTAAAGTCCTTGTTATTCTCTAGTATTCCATTGGATTTTTGTCTGAGGTACAGCCTTTGTATCATTCTTTTTCCACAACCTTTTTAGGGTCAGAAAGCAAATGGTTATGCAAACATAATCCTAACATAGACCTTTCAACAATGGACAATTTTGTCAGGTTTGTAAATCATTTATAGAGGCTAGTCTAAGAGCTATGTTGTAAATCATTTGTAGAGGCTAGTCTAAGAGCTATGTTGTAAATCATTTGTAGAGGCTAGTCTAAGAGCTATGTTGTAAATCATTTGTAGAGGCTAGTCTAAGAGCTATGTTGTAAATCATTTGTAGAGGCTAGTCTAAGAGCTATGTTGTAAATCTTTTGTAGAGGCTAGTCTAAGAGCTATGTTGTAAATCTTTTGTAGAGGCTAGTCTAAGAGCTATGTTGTAAATCTTTTGTAGAGGCTAGTCTAAGAGCTATGTTGTAAATCTTTTGTAGAGGCTAGTCTAAGAGCTATGTTGTAAATCATTTGTAGAGGCTAGTCTAAGAGCTATGTTGTAAATCATTTGTAGAGGCTAGTCTAACAGCTATGTTGTAAATCATTTGTAGAGGCTAGTCTAAGAGCTATGTTGTAAATCATTTGTAGAGGCTAGTCTAAGAGCTATGTTGTAAATCATTTGTAGAGGCTAGTCTAAGAGGTATGTTTTCTGTTTTCAGGCTAGATTAACTAATTATAAATGTGCATTCTGGGATTTTGAAAAGAAGTAAGTAGTAAGTTAGAATGTTGACTGCTTTAATTGTATTAGAGAAGTCACTTACAATCTATGAGATTACAAATTCTAGTATATTCTTACCTACTACTTTTACTAAAGAAATGATCATGGATGAACAAACTTTTACAAAGTCTGAACTAAAAACTGCTACTGAACACCACAGGGTTCATACTTTCAGGGTCTGTATGGGGTAACAGAGTAGAGAATAACTGGCAAACTGTAAAGGAAATTGGGCAAACGCAGGCAGGTTATTGCTGTTCTACGGTAAATTGGGTATTTATTCATAACAAAATCTTAAGAATTTGAAATTATTTAGAATTTTTCTCAAGTAACTTTCATACCCAGAACTAATTTTGATCATCCCTTATATGATCCAAACTTTTAATTTCTGTTGTCTCAGAACTGCCCACCTGGTTACCATGGTAACGGGCAACATTGAAAGATGGCGTGTCAACCTTCAACTTCACGAGCCCGGCACACCCCAAAGAACTACACTAATGAATGAAAATAAAGTTGTATTTAGTTGATAAAAATGTTTTCTTTCCTGTAACAGCTGTTTCTTTCTGAAATTATGCCCTTTTCTAATAGAAAATAACAGAAGTGACATACAATCCAACCGTGACTACACCAAAAACCAACTTCCCTGTCCAGTATTCATGAGCTTTTCAAGAATAAATATGCAAGTTTTAAATAGATCAATGAATTTTAACGGGTGCTCCAATGCCATCTTTATAAATAAATGAGGCATAAGTTCTTTCGCGGTGACATGTGAACACTGAAATGATTCAGATCAATTATTCCCCTTTACGGTGTCAAAGTGCCGGGAAAGAAATAAACGACATTTTGATAGTTTTTGACTTGAAATGGACACATTAATGATGTCAAGCAATGTTATTTTTATCATTTTTATACTTGAATGTGTTAATGAATCTTAAAAGAATCACGATGAATATGAATATTATGAGGAGAAAAAGGGGGACTCTAACGTTAGCCACCATATACACTTATACACTTTATAAGAACCTTCGTAACCTCATGCTCATTTCTAACTCCACATGTGTGACGACTATAAATAAAATTAACTTGTTTACTTACTTAGCTTCAATTCTCGTAGGGTTTTTACGACTTTAAGATGACGAACGGCAATAATTTTTTTCTAAAACAAATGAAGAGAACGTATCAAGCCAATTCTTTCAAATTTTGCTTTAAGCTAGAATTTCTCTATGTTCATTTTCTGAACATGCATCATTCATTCATTGCAGTCTCTTCAGTATAAAACTTATTAAATCAATTAATTTGATAACAAGTCCTTTGGTCCAGGATTTAAACCAGCAAAAACTATAATACTAGGTAAATAATTATATACTCAATTTTTATTGTTATAGAAAAAATTAAAATAAGAGGTGAAACTATTTGTTTAATTTAATAAAGGGGTATGCATGTGAAACAAAGACTTTACTTCTTGAGTTCATCATGAGTATTAATTTATTATTAAGTACATAATGTCTATTTAGAAAGTTTCATAAAATACTTATAATTATTCATTCATTTCAA